AAAAAAAAAAAAAAAAAAAAAAATTTGTAATTACATATTAAAGGAATTAGAAAAATTGAGATGACCACTCAAAACCAACTCTTATAAACTTTTTCATCCTTTACAGCTGTTTACATAGCGAAAGACAAACTGACTGCAGAAACTGCTGAGATTTTTCACAAAACCTTTAATGTTTATAGGTGTAATTCTCTCAGAAGTTACGAGTTTGTACTTGTTAACCATAGGAATTACTAGTAGTAATTTTAGAATTTATAATTTTGTAATCATAAACTGCTGTCATAATCTTCTCAATTAGTTTAAAATAAAAATAGCTTTGACAGATTAAATTAGGGAAAGCAAATAAGATGATTTTAGTTTGGGGAAGAGGAAAGGAAGAAAAAAACCTACTTTATCGTTGCTGCCTTTAGAGCCAAAATTGCTTTTAGCACTGTAGAATATCTATTTAGAAAAAAAAAACAAACAAACACTAAGAATTTAAGCCAGTTATTAATTTTAATTATTAAAAAATTTGTTTTTTTAAACATAGCTGGTTTATTTGTTTTACAGTGGCCAACATTTCAATTGTTATTTAAAAAACTAACAGTTTTTAAACTTGTTAAAACTAGTTTAAAAGAGTTCAAAAAGCAAAGACACCACCAGAAAAACCTAAATCAACAGATGTTTTTGCTCAAAAATCTACCCTAATAACAATGTTAGAAAAGTATCAAAGCTTATGGGAGTTAAACAGTGGCAAACAAAACTGAAAAAGAACAGTCTCAGTTACGTGAAAAAAAAAAAAAAACATTTACCGGTTGCATTCTCATTTATAGTTGATTTTGGTGGTATTTAAAATTTTATAATCAAATAAAAAGTGTGAATATAGTACAGTTTTAATGCACCTTTTTTTTTCTATCTTTCGTACTACACACAGTATATATCTGAAAAATAAATTTACTTTAGCTAAGCTAATCACTAAAACGGCAAAGAATCAGCATATAATTAAGTGCACAGAATTATTATCTGTATAATTGTTTTACATATAAAATTGCAATATAATGACACAAATATTCTTTTTTTTCAGTCAACAATGCTACTGAACGTTCGTCGTTACATCAGAAGTATCTCACGAAGTTCTGAGGGTGTTGTCGTTTTGCTAGAAAATATAAAGGAAAATGAACCTGTAAGTTTTACAAAAAGTTCTATAATAAAACAAATTTCAAAAGTTTATTTATTTACTGATTTATTTAAAAAATTTTGATTACTTCATAATCGCATAGGTTATCAATTATTGCTTTTTAATAAGTGTCAACATTTTTAAACTGTATTACGCAAAATGTTTGCAACATACAGTTTTCTTTTGTAAGTTTTGTTTTGATTTTCAAATTTTTTGTTGCATTTAATTTTTCAATGTCAATTAAATGGTATAAATTTTTTTCTTCAACTTTTATTTTCCTATCTTACAGCCATTGCGAAAAACAGTTTTTTTGGAAGTTCAAACGGCCTACTTGGATACGTATTTTAAAAAGAAATCTGTAACACGTGTAACACAAAGGTCAGCGAAAGGTATTAATTACACTAGAGCGTGCTAAGTAGTTTCGCTAACCTAAGCGAACAATTTTCTTTTAAACTCTTTAATACTAATAACTAATAGAACTTCGAGACTAAGCTAAAGTTTGGATATGATATATTTTGCTAATTCGATCGTTAGAAATTGCAAACAAATACAGGATGCCTTAAAGTACAATGACATTTTGAACATACTGAATGAGATCAATATCGTTTTTGGTAGATTTGCAAAACTTTCTCATCTGCTTTGATAAATATGAAAAAACTCTATCAAATTTTTGATTGTTCTGTCATAAAAAGCTTTATACATTTGCAAAAAAAAAAATGATAATTTAAATATCAATGTTTATAATTAAACAGTTATTCTTTACTCTTTTTTTTCATATTTTATCATGTGATCTAGCAAAAAAAAAAGAAAATTTTAGCCGCCGAACGCCACTCAAGTTGATTACCTCAACTAACGGAATTATATGCTTGTTTCCGCAAACGATGCCAACGGTGGTATGTAAAAAAATTGGTATCATTTTTGGTATGGGAGATGACGAACCAGTGGATAAAGTGCGGCATCCAAGTGACATAAAGTTATCGCCAACCGGATACGTGAACGGCAGTGCCTTTCAAACGCTGATACCAAGTCATCCGCCAAGTATTACCTCAATATCAACATAACACTACCTGGAAACCAAAGGTACTGAAGGTTCGTTATCAGCAGTGGACGATGTTTATATGAAATTGAAAAAGATAGTTTTTTGGCGACGGTATACCTTCTTCTTAACACCTGAAAGAAGTATCCGGGGAAAAAGTGAAACAGAAACGGCGAAATGATTTTGAGATGGTCAGATTCAGTTGTTGTCATCGCTGCAAGAAGAAAAGAAGTTTTATCTTAGTTACTCATCAATAATCGCCTGTTTATCGGTGCTGTTTAATTGTTAAAGTTGTAATACACTCAGTTTATGTTCTATCGGATTCCTGCATTTATTGACAGAGGCCTTCTGATATAGTCTAATTCTTTAGTGCTAACAGAATGCTCAACTAGTTGTTTAGTTGCCTTTTGTCGCCATATAATGTTAACAGGATCTAATTTTTATTGAAAGTTGCAGCACTGTTCGATATAACGATACAGAGGGGAAAAGTAAAAAGGGCAACAGATATGGGTAAATAAGGTTTAAAGAAAAAATTGGTGTATATCTTTAACTAAGGTAATTTGTATAATCGTGCCTAAGTTAGTATTTCGCTGTGTCTTTTAAATACCAGCAAAAATTTAGCTATTATTACCGATTTCTTCTGATAAAACAATTTTTCTTCATATCACTCATTCTTCAGCAAAACCTTTTTTTTTCTTTTGTTTTAGTGCGAATAAAGTTGTCTGGTCCGATAAAAGAAAAACGAAAAACTGGACAAATTCATTTCTTATGTAGATTAGAAAAAGTCGACTGAAAGGTTATGACAATTTGCTGTAACTTTCATTTGCTGTCTATTAGAGATTATACAAAAGAAAACAACAGCAACAACAATTGATGTGCTTTGTCTTTCATACTATTAAACTCTATGGGTATTTGTGCCTTTCGCAACAACATAACGTTATTCATCTTAGAATCGAACTTTTTTTTCTGTCAGTTTTTCTTTTACTTTTTTCTGTAATGAGGATCAGAAGAATAACATGAAGTGAAATATACAGTTCCCAATATTAAAAACAAGTTTGATGAACAGTAGTTTAATCAAAGTTGCATGTTTTTTTCATTAAAGATTCTTGTCCCTCATTGCATATTCGTTATTTGATATGCTACAACTGCTTTATAACACTATTATTATGCTTGTTGCAAACACATAATTTATACTTATATGAAATTTCCAGGCAATAGTTACAGGTTTATTCTACGTTTTTTTTTTCTTTCGCCAATTAACTCATTAATGGATATTTAGTTCTTATAACTTTCTTAAGTAAAAAGTTGGCTAAATATCAAGCAGCCATGTCTGAATAGCAAATAAACGAATAAATAAATATTTCTTACTAACCTGTTTCGGTCTAAAAACCATTCAATGATAAAAAAAACCGCCTCCAATTCCAAAAGAAACATGGTCAATCTATGGTCAATAAACACACGAAACCAACTGTTTTTGCTATCGCTGCTGCCAGAATCTTATATCTGCAGATACATAATGCTTGAGTCTTGTTTTTTTTTTTTTGTTAAAAGGCTTACAAACTGCTATAAGCCAGTAAAATTAGTATACGAAAGTATGGATAACTGATCTCATGAGGTAATTTAATGTCATTTACAATGTTATGCAATAATTCATCGACGAATTATAGGCGCAAATTCACTCGTACTCTAAGAACTGACAAACTTGTAAAATCTCCTAAGACAATAATGTAATTCTATTGACCTCTTGCAACACTTAGACTTTCAGCATTTCCACTTTAACGGACCTTGTTGAATGTAGTCAGCTTTATGTAATAGGAATTTAAGTAAAATATTATCAACTAAAATACTATTTGCCATTCAGATAACGGTTTGGATTTCTTGTAACTCATGGATTTCAGTGGAACATTTGGTCACAGACTGTTGCTGAGACAGTAAACCATGGTAGATCTAATGCTGATTAATGACATTTTATATAGTAACAGCTCATATTTAATCATTTTTTAATCTATAAATAAACTTTTTTGTGAGCCAATGTGGTGAACTGCAACCAAAAATTTTGGTTTATGGCAGCAATTTCCTGGTAATCCGCTAAAAAACTGCCCAAAAGACCGCTAAATATATAAGGGCCATCCCATGCCACGTTGCATACTTTTGTCAGTCGACCTCTCAGATTTGTTTCATTTTTTTGCCTGCTTGTAGCGCTTGTCACCAGATTTTGAAATCAAAAGAATTTACCTCAAAAAGGGCGCTGGCGGCAAACTTAGACCGTTCTAAATTGCGAGAAAAAACATAATTTACTTTCGACATGGTCACGTTTAAGAACCTATAGTTTTCTCCATTCGCAAAAGATTTCCCTCATTTTTATCTTTTTTAAAGCCTGTTTCCTGCAGATTCAGAAAAACGGTGAAAAGCTTAAATTAGCAAATTTTATTCTAAATTAAATAGAAACAAAAATTCAAAACGCTCTTTATCAAAAGACGACGTTTCAAATTTTTTTAAAAAATATACTTTTTAAAGGCATAATTTTTGCACAACATAAAAATTCCACCCTTTCGGCATTGAAAGTAACGGTACGACTGATGACAGTAAACTGTTACCTTCAAGCGGTTGCCGTTACCGACAAGTTCCAGCATGACCATATCAACATCCCCCTAGCAACTGCCAGTCTCTTGAACCTCAAGAAAGTCTTGCTCTGTCTAATCTTTGTTTGTAATAGACAATATCTTAAGCTTTTTTCCCTTTACTTCACTACCTTAACTTTTCATTTGCATTCAACAAACCCAACCTGTCTGAATTCACGCTATATACTGTGCAGTGCTCATTTTACAACTGAGTAATTCTAAAAAAGATAACAGTTGTAAAATATTATGAACCAACACATGCAAATCCGTAAAAACAAGTTTACATTTCCAAATCGTATGTCTAGCCGGTTACTGTTGCCGCAGCCAAAGGATACAATAGTAAAACTGAGTAATCGATGTAGAGCAAAGTTGCTCTTGTTAAGCTACACCCATTGTATGAAAAAATCGCGGTTTACCAATAGTTTGCATAAATTGTTTGTTTGTTTTTTTTTTTTTTTGATTCAGTTTTCAGATAATTGAATAGCACAAGTGGACGTTTATTTAGGACCCAGCTTTTGGCTTTTAACTTTCTTTTTTTCGTCTCATTGTCACTTCCGAAGTTTTAGCGTATTTATCTATTATTGACTAGCGTTGGTATTATTTTCAATATAGGTTTAATTACCAAGTTTAAGTCAACTACTGAACCGGCAGAAAAAGAAGAATTTCAAACACCAGTAAAATGTTTAATTAAAACCAATAAAAATTTTATTTAGTTGCATTAAATTCCTGTACAAGCAAACTACTTCCTTATCTATCCCTCTATTTCTTCATCTTTCACTGAAATTTCAATAAGAGGAAACAATACATAACAAAACATTATTGTGTTAAATAAATGAAGATAGTGAAGGTGTATCCCAACAACATTAATATGCTGCAAAATTTAAAGGAAAAATCGATGCTTACTTTGATTGTAGGAACTGGCAGAAAAACTGTGGAAGAAATTAAAATGAAAAAATGTCCAGAGAGCACGTATAAGTAAAGAAGGTATTACTCTGCTCTTTTATACTGTCCTACCCGCACAAAATCCTTATCTGCATTGAAGTTTCTAAATTAGAACAAGCAAAATAGGCACCTCGAAAGCAAAAAAAACTAGCATCACAATCAAGTACCAGAATGTATATCACAAACCTAAAAACTAGATACACCGGTCACGTATCGGATTTTCTCATAAGATATCCAAAAAGTTAACGACCAAGGCGCCTAAATAAAAAAAGAGAACTTAATCATGTTAGAATTGCATACATTGTCATTAAGGGCGTCGACAAAATTTGAGTGAGATTTTCTTCTAAACTTTGGCAAACTGGGGACTAAAGGAACTGAATCTCTATTCTAACCATTCGAATATAGGTTGGTAAAAAGCCTTTATAGAGAGCCATTAATCCTTCGTTCTGGATGGTATGCTTTAAACAGTCAAATGCTCCTTTATAATGATAGCTTCCATCGCTAAAAAAAATGAGTCACTGAGAACTGCTGAATCCACCACTTAAAAAAAAATTGCATTTTTGTCATTCACTACTAAAATGAGGGCACCCAAAACTACTTTGGACTTACGCGACAGCACCACTAGAATGCTTCAGTTGATTCATTATTCTCGTTTTAATCACATCTGCTGGTGTTGAAACAGTAGCAGCCGCCAATCCAGACATGGCACTACAACAAGCATGCGTCAAGGCATTGTCTTTCATGCCTCGGCCAAGAAGAATACGCTTAGAACGATCATAGGTTGCCAAATCTGCAGGTAATTTAAAAAAATAAATTCTAAGAAAGTGAGGACGGCGATTACTTACCAGCCATATTAAGCAGCGCAGCACGCTGGCAATTAGGAATCCAACCTGTCCACAAACTTCGAAAACCATTGACGCGATAAAAAGTTGAAAACGCATGCCACGTATTTCGAAACCTTAATATACAATTTAAGTGGTTGAAATCAAAAGTCAACAAATGAAGGAAAAGTGATACTGTCAAAGTCGAGTACATCATTAAAAACTCTTACCGAGCCGGTTGGCCTTGAAGTCTCCTTAGACCTTCCATCTGCATTTGCACTTTAACCAGGTCTGTGGGAGAAGCAATGAACTGAGCAAGAGCCCCTGCTGTAAGACCGGATATCATTGACTTCCTACACATCAATCAAAAAAGTGAAAACCACCAGACAGGTAAAGAAAGTATTTTAAGTTTACAAGGAAAGAATACGAACTGTTGACCACCACAAAAAAAATGCGGCTTTCCCACTTAACAGAGAGGAATCTACTGAGTAAAAGAAAAAAACAAGTTTTTTGGTGTAATCAAGATTTTTGAAGAAAAACTTACCAGATTGGAAATCGTTTTTCCTTTTCCTTATCATGCCACGCAGCTCTAATTACTTCATAAAAACCCATTCGAAACCCAGTATAAACTAAAAAGTTGGGATACTGTTTTGTTTTTTTCTTTCATGACTGCAAAATATTGGACTGCTAAACACCAAAAAATCCATTATGTACTGGTACAAACCACAAACATAAATGCTAAAAAAAATGAAAAAGGTATAAAAAAAATATAACAAACCAAAATGCCGGTAGATTGCAGGAGTAACGCCGCTCCATAAGTTTAGTACACCCTCGTTCCTAACTGGAAAACGACTTTACATCACTTTATCAAATGACAGAATTAGTAAGTATTGATGTGACAATGAAAAAGGTAGGCGAAAAAAGTAGACTATAAATGATGATAAGTTCAACATTCTTTCTTGCAGCCAGTAGCATATTAAAAGATATTCGCTGTGATCTTGATAAGATGGAAAAACAAGGTTTCAAAACGTTTACCAATGTTCCAAAAGACGCTGAACATGCCAGGTCGACGTTTCTGATTAAATGTCGGGAGTAATATAGCACCACCGCTTCTGATCATCTGTAACCGCGTTTTAGTAACATCCAAAGGATAGGTTACTGAAACAAAGCGAAAATAAACCCCTCAAAGTCAGAAAATGTAACATTCAGCCTACAGATAACTTGTGAATTGCAAGGCAAAAAATTTCCATTCTTAATTGGCAACTAAGAACATACTAAGTCTTGCAGCTGAAAGGTTTCAGCAGTAAACAACTTACCTGTCTCCGAAACTAACGAAGCTGAACATGACAAAAGATATTTGATCAGAACACTTCGTACCGTTAGCGGTGAATCCTTTACGTCGCCAGGAACTCGAGGCATCTGAAAGTGTCAATAGGGTTACGAATGAAGAAGCTTTATTGACAGCTTTCTGGCAGAACTTCTTTCACTGCTGATTTCAGCACGATTCCAAGAATTAAATCACAAGACGACTGAAAATAAAACAATCTAATGACACTTGTGGTACGTAACAATAATAGATGCATAAAAATTCATGTCAAAATTTATGTTGGAAGCCGCATAGTAACAAATTTTAAGCTTTAATTTTTTGTTCGAAACGCAGAAAGTGGAAATGACAGCCATTTAAGTTAATCGATCGGTACAAAAGATATCTTTGGTAAAAAAATGGAACGAATT